GGCGTGGAAAAGGGTCCTGTACTTTACTTACTTACTTATTTGAACAAATGCTATCATATACATGGTTGACCTTTACCTCTTAGCCCTTTATGAAATAGTTAGGGAGAAGGGGTTGACCTGCCCGACCTGCGGTTCATTCCCGTATCCCACTCTCACACCCCCCCCCACCCCCAAAAAAAACTGAGGGGGGGGGGAGGGCCGAACTGCTCGTGCACCACGGTTTCCAGCATATGTGACACAGTGTTGGCATAATAGTTAACTGCCAATTACTGCCTTTATATACCATACCAGTTTTGCGGTATAGATAGAGGGAAGTCTTTTAGCCCGAGTATTGAAGGTCGCATGGATAGTGCTGTCGCCACGACTCTACTTACAGCAATAAGAAAAATGCACATACTGTTCTTTGGCCACATAGTAAGAACTGAGACACTGGAGTACATCGTGACAACCGGAAAGATGAGCTGTAAAAGGGGTAGAGGCAGACCAAGAGAGATGATGCTGATTGGGCTAAATCGATTGCATGGAGGGATATCATCAAGAGAGCTGTTCCAGGTAACCATGGATTGTTGGTAGGGCACATGATGATGATGATGAAGATAAATGTAAAGTAAAGGAATTCACAACGTATGAAATAAGCTAGCCAGTGAAACCTAAGCAAAACTGTAACGTGCCCTTAAAATCCTTGTCAATCATCAACTGTCCCTAAAGGTTAAAAAAAACTAGGATTTGTCAAATTTACAACAGAAATAATGGAACCCATTTACTGTATCAGCAATAACAAATTCTGGCTACACACAGATTCTTGAACTCAAGAAACTAAGATTCCATCCAAAGGGATCTCATAGGGAGAAATTTTAAAGGTCATTCAGCGCCAGCTTTTAATATTGGATGATCGTTCTATCTTATTTTTTTTCTGTTTTATGTCTGACGTAGCGGATGTCGTTCTTCTGCACTCTTATCTAGCACTTCATGTTTTAAAGTTAGCTGTCGTTTTGTTCTCTTTATCTTGTGCCTCCGCAATGTTTGTTCTCTCTATCTTGTGCCTCCGCAATGTTTGTTCTCTCTATCTTGTGCCTCCGCAATGTTCATTCCCTTCTATATGGCCCTAACAACATACTTTTTAACAGATCAGTTTATCACCAAAATGGTGCAGAACTGTTTCTTGTTTTTGCTCTTCTTGTTCTTCTCGTTTATCCCGTTCTTATACTTTTTCTCTTCTTCTTCCTCCTCTTCTTATCTTATCCTCATCATCATCATCGTCATAATTATCATCGTTGTCGTCTCTATCTTCTTCATAAGCTGCTTCTTCTACTTCCTCTCTACTTCTTCACTCTCATCGGACAAATCTGTTGAAATATTTTCGTGTTTAACTGCATTTTTCAGCCATGTTTGTCACAGAAACCCTTCTTAGTCGCCCCATACGGCATGCATAGTTGGTTACAGTGTATTACTACTTGTTTTTCCTCTCTGCAACTGATGGGTGAAATCAGTCAACTATTATATGGCCAAGTCTTCACTGTATTCGCACTTTGATATCTTTATCATTTCCCCCATCCGTATCTACATTACTGCCCAAACAGATGTACGACTCCCAAGTTCAAGAGAAACCACACCACTATTAGCCTGATCTATCCCAATCGCTGTCTTTTCCTTATGAATTTTCATACCTAGCTGTCCCCATGGGGGTTCCGGGACCCCATTATAGAGAAAACAAGAAAAGACCCACTGCCTTCACAGCAAGCATGTCGTGGGAGTCGACTAACTGAGGACTTCCTTCGAAGTCGAAATACATCTGCCCGAGAGGCACGGAACAACCAACTGCACACAAATAAGTCAGTAAAACGAATGTACACGCAAAACTCAGGGCCTGGCATAAAGCCAGAGTCCAAAGGGATGAACAACCAGGACTTTCCACGGGGACTTACAGCCAACAAACAAAGAAAAAGATGAAGTCCTAGCTGTTGTTACCTCGCATAAAGTGCATTTATCTTGCATCCGATCCCAACTACCCGGTTTATTCTTTGAAAAACATGTTTAAAGAAGCCTGAGACTGCTACACACACTAGGAGGTGTGCCTTGTAGTGCTGTGTGCATGTGGGCTTTATTCCCATTTTATAATAATATTAATACAATTATAACAATATTTACTATCACCACGCTGGTTAATTTTCTATTTATATATGTGCAAAATTGTCTTTAAAAAAATGTTGTCTTTATATATTTTTTAATTGTTTGTTTCTGTTCTCTTGTCCTCCAGTTGCTAAAGCTGTGTTTATTTACAGGGCAAACAGTCGTGTCTGTATCCTCTTATCGTTCGTTACATTGCTCTTCTACAAGAATTATTGTAATTTATTTAAGCATTTAATTCTCCAGAAAATGCACATTTGAAATGTTAAATCAATTTTCTGAAAATAGATAAAGAAATTATAGATAAATAAGAAAATTGATTCAACATTTCAAATGTGCATTTTCTTATTTATCTATAATTTCTCTATTTTATTTTTCTTCTGCTATTGTTTCAAATTACACACATTGTAATACAGTAATATTATCCATAAATCTATCTGGCTTTTAGTTCGTCCTCCCGGCCCTTTGCACGTCGCCTGCTTTACTGTGTGTATATATATCTGTCTTCCAGAAAGCAATGGCAAGCTACTGGACGTAAATTTGCCTAGAAAAACCTCACAACAGCCAGGGCTGTTGGTGATGGTTCTGCAAGGTCCCGTAAAGGATACGCAACTAAAGTATATATATATAAATCTGTCTATCTGTACACAAATCTACTATTTCTGTACAGCTAACAAAGTCTGTTAATGTATGTATGTCTCTAGTTGGTAGATATGGTATCATGTCTGAATTAGAAAGGTCATATTATCCAAGTGTATTCTTTGTTTGTGTGGGTATCATTCATAGTTTGTCAAGGTTTTTGTCTGTCGGTTTCTAATACCTTTTATGTGTCTGTCAATATGTGTGTCACTATCTACTGTGTGAAAGATGGGTGTTTGGAAAGACCGAATGTAAGATGCGACTGCATGCCCAATTTGTGAACCTTCGGGAAAAAAAAGGTCGATTCTTTAGTTCGTTCATTCGTTTTTCTCTCCCTCTGTCTGTCTGTCTGTCTGTCTGTCTGTCTGTCTGTCTGTCTGTCTGTCTGTCTGTTTGTCTGTCTGTCTCTCTCTTTCTTTATATCTCTCTCTCTCTCTCTCTCTCTCTCTCTCTTTCTCTCTCACTCTCTCACTCTCTCTCTCACTCTCTCTCTCTCTCTCTCTCTCTCTCTCTCTCTCTCTCTCTCTCTCTGATACACTGAAAGAGATTCTGGATTTGCTATTGAGAAACTGATGCTTACCAGGGCTCGAGACTGACCATAGCAAAAAGAAGACAAATTGTGAGCCTTTGAAAAGTTATTCATTCGTTTACCCCCCCCTCTCTCTCTCTCTCTCTCTCTCTCTCTCTCTCTCTCTCTCTCTCTCTCTCCCTCTCGCTCTCTCGTGCTGTCTTACCTTCTTGTAAGGCTTAAAGTGTAGATCGTTCCACATTCTATTCTCCATGAGCAAGTCGTAGTTAGACAAAGGCACGTTTACTTCCCCCAGATATTCCGGAAGCTTCAGGTGGTGTGCCTTGTGAAACGTAATGATTCTCAAACGTAAATTTTTCATCTCCTCCAAACCAAGATCAGTGAAGAAGAACTCCTTATTGAGAACAGGTGCCGAGGTCTGCCGGCTAGGCTCAGTACTTTGTTTCTGCAGTTTCCCTGGCATTAAACACAGTTTGAAGAATGGGTTCAGGACCAGGTCAGGTTTTAAAGGGAATCGAAGTCCTTCCGCGCGTATGATGATCACTTTGAGACGTTTGGTGGCAGGAAAGTACTGGAACGAGAATTTGACGTCTCCTCGTTCTGTTTCTGTCTTTGTCATTACTGTGGGTTTTGGCATATCGTGGGAAGAGAGCCTGGTAAGCGAATTGGATTTAGTTTTTTCAAAGTGTTCCCTTCTTCCAGATTCCACGACAGAGACTTCTGGAGAGGAATGTCGTTTATCGTGAAGTGAGTCGATGGGGGCTAGTTGCCTTCTGCTTTTAAACGCTCTAGTACTACTGCTCGAGCCATTTTCATATTCTAAACTTTGACGGTGATACAAGAGTCGCATGACATCAGACGTAACCAATGAGGAGCGACGTCTGTAGTATCGCTGAGAACGTCTGAAAGACTCCTTTACTGGTAGATAGTCGTTTTTATCAGTCGTCCCCGCGTAGATCCCTTTGTATTCTGGCGAGACGTGGTTGACATAAAGCATATTTGGGGAAACGGTATGCTCGTCGTGATGATAGTAGAAGTCCTGGAATGATCTGTGCATCCGCCGGGTACGATGTCTTGCTTCTGACGCTGGGATTGTCAACGATCCTTTTCTTGGGGAAGTTCTTGGATCCTGGACACTGTATCCCAGGGTCGTGAGTGTGTTGCCGTTGCTGTAGAATTTGTATACCGGCATTGAAGCGTGTCCATTAGCCAACGGCGACTGATCCCCTTGCATGTGTGGCAACTGGCACATCGAACGTATGCCAAAGTCTCTTAAAAAGCCATGGGAATCCCGTCTTGGAGACACTGGAGCTGACCTGATGCGAACACTGTTGTAAGCAGGAGCCGTGAGGGCTGAGAACGACGATCTCGGAGAGATCCCAGGGCTGGTTGAGGCTGACCATGATGTCATACTGGGGTCTCCGCTGGAGTGGCTCAGGATGTCGTCGTTAGAACCAATGCTGGGATGTCTGGATGAGTCAGTAGAACCAGGGATAACGAACTGGGGAATGGTTCTGGGTGTCACTAAGTTAGCCGAAAATAGCTGAGATTGTGATGCACTTCTTTCTTTCACTTCGCTGGTTGAACTTCCTTTCCCGTTGACGTTTTTGCGATGGTCAGTCCCAAAACCCGGCAAGCGACATTTTGTCACCAGCCAGTCTCGAATCTCTTTCACTGTATCAACACTTTTCTTAGTTTGTGCCATTTCACATCAAATATCAGAATGTATAAATCTAAAACTAGCAAATTGAATATATTATCTCCATTTAGAATAATGTGTTTTCAATGACTAAATATGCAGGTCATATTACTTCGCAAATTTATATTATTCTTTTTTTCTTTTCATTAACCATACTAATTGATTGTCCAGTTTATAGTCTGAGACAATATAGCCAACAAATGACATGTTGATTTCATGACCTGAATGTAGGGCAGCACTCAGTCCAGCGGCTCACCTGTAAGAACATAAATATCTTCTTGTAAATACATAACACAGTAGCAAATTAAGTAAAAAAAAAAAATAGTAAAGTTCCCTTTTTACGCTTTTCGGCGCATCGGGCATATGGGCAGAGCGTCCCATATTTTTACAGACCGTCAGCACTCTGTGGGTAATGTGGTCACCATTATGCCGGCTGTCTTTACTTTCCCAGGACAGCCCATCCTGGTACCCATTTTAGGCTGGGTCGACCTGCGACGTCCCATACCACGACAAAAATCCACGCAGCCTGCAGTGGGTTTCGATCGCGGTATGCTGGCTTACGAGTCGGACTCGCAACGCCTTAGCAACGGACGCCGCCAATAGCAAATTACTATTTCCTTAATATAGTTAATTAGTTAGTTAATCGACACATCATCCTCATTTCATATCTGACAAGTCCATGAGCGCTCGGATCCCCTCTTCAGTATATCCCTTATCGTGTTGCGAGTGATAACACCGGTTATCTGTTAGTTTACTTTTCTTTTTTGACTACATGTGTCGTGTTTATGTGCCTGGGCAATAAGCAAGAATTTTTTAAAATCTACATCAAATCAGCGAAAACAGCAGTTTAAAACAGAAACAAAGTGAAGGAAGCCAAGATGAGTTCAGGTTGCAGGTGTATGGAGAAGACAATGCTCTTGGCAAGGCTGCAGTGCATTTTTAACGTACGAATACATAAAGAATAATTACAGGACCAAACTTTCTTCGTCAAGCGATTTGAGGAAAACGTTAACTTAACTCCCCCGTATACATAAAGGAAATAACTAAAAATTCATCAAAGCAGTTTCATTCATCGCATAAAGACAACTGAACATTAAATGTGCACTGTTTTATCTTTTTTTTCTAAGTATTCAAACCACTTTAAGAAGAGGTGTGCCGCAATTTTTTTTGGTTCGGGGGGGGGGGGGGGGGGGGTGTTGGGTGTGGGGGAAGCTGACAAGGGTGCCGCGACGAACAAGTTTGAGAACCACTGATTTAGTCTATGCATTGCTAAAGGTCGTCTATTCTACTTTGTGTGTGTGTAAGTGTATATGTGTGTGTGTGTGTTTGTGTGTGGGTGTGTGTGTGTGTGTCTGCAGTCGCCATTATTGTTTACTACTAAGCTTACATTTTCGAAATTTGTGACATTTTCGACTTCTTCTTCATCTTTATCTATTTTAGTACGTGATTTGTGTTCTGTATTCATTTCGGTCATTATTTCTGTTCGTTTTTCAAGTTTAGAAACAAGATTATCCAGTCTTCTGTAGTTTGAGAACCCTGCCTAAAATTAGTGCTTGGAAATATCACTGAAATTAAAGGCGGTCGGTAAGATGTTGGTCCAATAAGCCTGTTGACTAAAGCTTGGTCTAAAATATGTGGGTCTACTATATGTCTGATGCCCATATTCGATGGAAAAGGTCCCTAATGTTTATATATTTTATTGTATACATGAACAAATTTAATGAATTGCCCTGATCACGAAACAAGCTGCTGTTCGTGCTTTATATGTTTTAATAATCCAAAGAATCAAATTTAGAGAAAGGGAAAGATCAGCTCACAAAGTTCAAATAAAGACATGTTTGTCACAAGGTCTCCAAATTTCAACGCCAGTTCAAAAAGGTGAAGTGAAGTGTTTGTATCAAGTTAAAGTGTTCCGACAACAAGTAAGACAAGAATCAATATTAGCAATCGTTCATTAGCGGACAACAACACACAAACATACCAAATTTATATACAGAACCCCTATCATGGGGCACCAGGGCCTTTTCTCGGCCCCTTTGTAAAAAAAAAATAGGTTTGCGGGGGGGGGGGGGGGGGCTGGGGTGAGAGAAAATAGGGACTATGGAACTAGTGACTACTAAGACAATGACTATGGAGATGATCATATCGAGCATAGAGAGGAATATAGAGCAGAGTGCTAGTAGAAATCTTTATTTCAAAGTCCCTGAAATTAATTAATACACAAAGAAGAAATATTGATACCTGATCTTACACATAGGCAAACAATATTCAAAGAGTAATGTTAGCATATATAATGCGTTGAATACATTGATATATGATCGCTGAACATTTCAGATAGTTTCGTCTAGCGGTATTTTTTTTTAACAAGCATAGACGGTTCAGGTTACTTATTTTATGCACGAGCAAAGAATAAAGTGTGTTTGTGTGGGGGTGTGTGTGTATGTGTGTGAGTGCGCGTGTGTGTGCGTGCGTGTGTGTTTGTGTTTCTATGTGAGAATTACCAAACAGATAAATAGGCAGGTTAGGCATAGCTGGGTAAAGAAGTGCTGCCAAACCAGTCAGATCTATAAAGGAAACACGGAACCAGTCAGATCTATAAAGGAAACACGGAACCAGTCAGATCTATAAAGGAAACACGGAACCAGTCAGATCTATAAAGGAAACACGGAAGCAGTCAGATCTAAATAGAAAACACGGAACCAGTCAGATCTATATAGGAAACACGGAACCAGTCAGATCTATAAAGGAAACACGGAAGCAGTCAGATCTATATAGGAAACACGGAACCAGTCAGATCTATATAGGAAACACGGAACCAGTCAGATCTATAAAGGAAACACGGAAGCAGTCAGATCTATATAGGAAACATGGAACCAGTCTGATCTATAAAGGAAACACGGAAGCAGTCAGATCTATATAGGAAACACGGAACCAGTCAGATCTATAAAGGAAACACGGAAGCAGTCAGATCTATAAAGGAAACATGGAACCAGTCTGATCTATTAAGGAAACACGGAAGCAGTCAGATCTATAAAGGAAATGTGGAAGCTGTCAAATATATAGGGGAAATATAGAAGCAGTCAGATCTATAAAGGAAATATGGAACCAGTCAGATCTATAAAGGAAACACGGAAGCAGTCAGATCTATATAGGAAACATGGAACCAGTCAGATCTATATAGGAAACACGGAAGCAGTCTGATCTATATAAGAAACATGGAAGCAATCAGATCTAAAAAGGAAATGTGGAAGCTGTCAAATCTTTAGGGGAAATATAGAAGCAGTCAGATCTATAAAGGAAATATGGAAGCAGCTAGATCTATAAAGGAGATATGGAAGCAGTCGGATCTATAAAGGAAATATGAAAGCAGGGGAACATTGAGGATACGGATAAGAATCATCACGGTCTAGAAAGAATAATGCAAACTGGATTGGACCAGTGATGTGGTAGATGTTCAACACTTATAGAAAAGGCAAGACACACATTTAGTCATATAACAGCTAATGCTATCAGTATCGGTACTCTTACTTGATGATGATGATGATGGAGACTGAGCATTAATGTGAGTGTCCTAGTTTTATGAAGTCGATTCTTTACGCCAAACACTTTGATGCCGTTTATGGATCGGTTTGCCTCCTTCACCAGAGTATACAGGTTTTTGTTTTTGTCAAATATTCACGATAACAGACAAAGTTAAGAGTTAAATGTAGAAAAGCTGAAACAACATTATGACAATTCTATGCAATCTATCTTTGTGAATTCAGACAAAAAGATAATTGTCAAGAGATGTATAAATGATGTCCTGATATGCGGAAGTGAATCGTGGACAGTTGGATGAATAGTAAAAAATTATTCGGAAGCGGTGTAGATGTGGTTTTATAGATGAATTATGGGAATACCCTTGAAAGGTTAAAAAAAAATGTTATGCAAATATCTTGAAAGAAACTGATTCACCAAGAGAACATCAGAAGAAGAGCATCTTCATTCTTTGGTCATGTTATGAAAAGGAGACAACTGGAGTAAATCTTGACATTAGGAAGTTGGAGGAAAATAGGTGGAAAGACCGAAGGGAAGATGCTGAACAGTCAAACATCATGTCATGGAAGATTACCTATGTCAGAACTGTTTGAAAGTACACGAGGGGCAGCGTTAGCGCAGTTGGTAGGATAATCGCTTTCAAACCCAGCTGCGACTTGCTGCAACCAATGGCCGGTGTTTGAAACCGGGCGGTTCCCGAGTTTCACCGAGCCTTTAGGAAATGGGTACCATAGTTAACACTTTGGTGTAAATGGAGAAATGTCACTGTAGCTACGGAGTCGCGTGCGGACGACGACACAGGCAGACAGGTTGTTATCAGCTGCCATTACTGGTGGCAGAGCGCTTATGGTTTGTAACCGCATACAATGACGCTAGTTCACATCTCCCGACTTAACAATGTTTCACATTTTTAATATGAGACAGAAGATTGTGAACCGACTACCAGCTACACACGGCATTGATTACCAAAAAGAAGAAAAGAAAGTCTTCCTCTGTGATATAATTGGGCATTAAACGTAAATATAATTAAGAACCTGGGATGGTTTTCTGTCAAGAGACAAACCTGAGCCAGGGCAGACAACAACAAAACTATCATGGTAACGTTTTAAGGCTAAGAGGGGAAATAATCGATGGGTGAAGACACAGGCAGAAAATTTCTTTTGGCAGCTTCATTTACAGAAATGAGAAATATTATGAAGTCTTTCCATTGTAGAAGTACTGTAGCTGAAATTGTCCATCATCGTAAGCTCTTCATAAATCTCTCTCTCTCTCTCTCTCTCTCTCTCTCTCTCTCTCTCTCTCTCTCTCTCTCTCTCTCTCTCCCTCTTCTCTCTCTCTCTCTCTCTCTCTCTCTTCGTCTCTATTTCTCTCTCTTTCATCAAGTATGTGAGTACGTATGTATGTATATATGTGTATTAGTGGTTTTTGTGTCTGTATGGGTGTGTATAAGTATGCACCCGTGTGTACGC